CAGAAGTCTTTTCCACCTCTAAGGATTCTATGGTTCTAAACAGAAGAACCAAGTCATAGAGAAAACAACCCAGTACACAGGATGCTGGCTGGGCAGGACCACAGGCAGCCCAGTGCCTTCAGAGTCTGTGGTGGTAAGAAACCCTTACTCACTAGAACATTCCTGGAAATCTGGTGCTGTTTCTGTTGTTTCTGAAATGCAAAGCATGGCTGAGATTTCCTGGAATGAGAGGAGAGAGTGCATGTTCAAAGAACAAGGAGTCCTTCTCTCCTTCCATATATACATACAAATAGCCTGTGACCCTGAGAAAGGCAATTCAAGAGTGGAATTGAAAAAGATATATAAAAACCTTTTAATCTTAGCAAGAAAAATTGCATCATGGAGAATGAACGAGTGTTTTTTCCATAGCAAGAGCTTCTATTTTATTTACATATTTTGGTTTTAATGAGAAACTTGTTGCTTTCTTATTTTGAGACAAGATGCAGAATTCAGAATTATTATGGGGATCAGAAACATGGTTAAAATTCAGCACAAAAATGCAGATGATGATTTTTTTTTCCTCACTGAGAGAACTCTGTGCATTCCAACACTTCACTGGGGGCTGCTAACCCTGCAGACAGTCCCACAGCCAGAGTGGCACCAGCTCCTCATCTGCTAGAGGGGCACTTCAAAAGCTCTCATATGGTACTGGATGCTGGGGTACAAGTAGCCAAAGAGCAACCATCTCCACCTTCACAACCTTTGCACCCTGCACAGGGCCAACACACCCTGGGGCTCCTCTCTCCGTTCATTGCTTCCCTGGCAGCTGGAGAAGCCAAGGAAAGTCACAGGGAGCCACACGGAGCTCACTACAGTATCTCTCCAGCTTGGATGCATCAAACCCTGCAAGCTGAACCCAGCTCTCTTCTATAGGGCTAACAGTACACTCAAGAGTAAGGCTCTAAGTAGGCAGAATGTGGAGTCAAGGTCAGGTAGTCAAGTAGAAAAAGATGGACCATCCAGGATTAGCACAAAAGAAACTGAGCTGGGGTAACCAGGATCCTCATGAGAACCAGCAAGTCAGATCTGGCACATCCAGTCCAGTGTGGTTACAACAGATGGAGAAGAGGCCAGAGAAGTCTCATTTTTAATCTCACAGGTTTTAGAGCATTTTAGGCAATATCCATGGGATTTTACTGAGCAGAAAGAATTTTTACATCTGATTGCCACAGTTTGAGAGTATTCTACTCAAATCTCATCAGACCTCTGTGTTGAGAAGTCTGATCACTTTCTGCAAGCAGATGAACTTCAGCAAAGTGAGAGTACAAATGAGAGAGAACAAACATGTCAGCTAATGGACAATGGAGCCAGGAGTCTTAGCAGTAATCAAAGAGCACTGCAAACAGTGCAGGAAAGTGACATACCCCTCTCAATATTATAGATCAGCTTTTACTGAACTCAGCAGAGCTGTCTCTAGCTTTAACTCCACTGATTTCTGCAGAGCTATCACTACTTTAAGCAAAAGTGTATCTTTCAGTGAAGGTGAAATAAGGTTCACAAAGAAAGTGCAACTCCAAAGGGAAAGGCTGGGCAGACACTTGGCTCAGCATCATGCTTGGCCCCACTGGGCACAGGACTCGGCCTGCAGGCCAGGCCTAACATGTCCGGCAAATGTGGTTCAGCAGACTGCTAAAGGAAAGCAAAGCCGCCCACTACATTTTCTGTTGTGCTGTAGATATAGAAAAAGGAACATGTAAAGCAAGATCACTATCAACTCATTTCCCACTGGTGCTTTTCTCTTTATAGAGAGAAAACTGTCTCTAGAGAAGGGAGACAGAATGTTTAAGTATTGACTTAACATGGAGAACAGTGGGATGGTAATATGTTTTCAGAAACACTCTTAATGGAAGGCTCCATCAGTCAGACATTGCTTCTAACAAACAGTTGGGCAGAGTGCATTTCTCTCAGTCCTGAGGTATGAGCACACAGAGCAGACAGAACAAGACAAATTTCTCTCTAAATCCATAGAGAGACTATGTTCCAAGGCTGCATCTGGCCTGTGGATTTGGATCTGTTGTTCCCCATCTGTATTTCATTTAATTTCACTTTACCTTATATTGTATTGCTCCTGTCTCTGTAAGATATCCCAGATTTTAAAATATGCTGGCATCCCTTAGTTTTGGTATAAGAAGCAGCTGGAACTGGACTATCTCCTCTCACTCAAGTAAGGCTCATTTAACATCACAACAAATTTCACTTCTCCCCATATGCTGCACATCCACAGCATTACACAGCTTTTTTTTTTTCCTCCAAGAGAACACACCCAGCTCACAGCCTCCACACCTGTTTTAGCTCCTGTATCCAGACTAATCAGAACATGTTCCACAGAAGCTAAGAGAGCAGTCAAGCATCCCTGTTTGCTGATTTACACATCACACAGCCTAGCTTTGTGAAAGCAATGTTGAAGAAATATAATCAGTTTATTTGCTCTGTGACAGCTGTGTAAACCACAGAAAGGAATGTGACAAATGAAGGCATCAGATGTGCTGTGCAGGGAGTGAATACATTACACTTCCAATTACCAGAGTAGCTGCTACTTTCCCTAAATAGGCTGGTACTGAACCCCAGAGCCATTGTCATGACACCACTGAGCATCCCCAGCAAGGCACTGGTTGTGAGCATTCCTCTTAGGACAGGCTCCAGATGAGGCAGGAGCTGACAGCCACTCCTGGGCCCACAAAGTGCTACCAGGGATGGGGCCGGCACCACATGAAGTAGTGGCAGGAGAACAGGAGCTACAGAGCTCATCACTTCTGGAGCAGTTGGAGCTGATGTAGGAAGAGACCTTTCCTCTGCCCTGGGCTGTGGGGATCTACGTCCCAAAGGGTGCTGAGAGCTGATGGGGCAAAGCCCTGAGAACCTGATCTGAGTCCAAAGCTGACACCACACCAAGCACAGGCTGGGACACCAGCAGTCCATTCCCAGCCCTGGATCCCATGATCCTGACATCTAAGACACTCTTGTAGCATTTAACCTGATAGGACCCATATGTAAAATGATTCAGGCAGCTTTTTCTCATTAAGAGACATACTGTGGTATACAGCAGCCCTGAAAAAAATCTGTTTCTGCCTAGCAAACGCTAAGGGCCTCTGAGCCACTAATCTGATTGTAAAGTTAAAAAGTTAAAGCATAGTGCCACTTAACCTTGCTGTAAGTGAGAAGACTTCACGCACCTCAGGAATCATGACCTGTGTTACAGACCTCGGCAGCAATGCTCCTGGTGCTTTAGTGAGACCCATGACTATGCAATGCAGTGGGCACTACGTGCCTGGGGCACCTGGCTGCTGCAGCAAGAACCCTGACCTCCCAGCAGCCACTCCCAACTCTCTGGCTCCTGAACCCCCCCTTCATACTGCACTGTTCTCCTCCAGCTGGGACTCACCACTCAGAAACTGTGGCCAAGAAATGACAGAGCCATAAGATTAGAAGGGACCTCAGGACATTCCCACTCCAACCCCCCTCGTACAGGCCAGCAGAAGTTCTGCTCCCAAAGTTTCCATTTGCTGTGGGGAGCTGAGGAGTGGAGGAGCCTGGGCAGTGTTTCTAGAGACAAGCAGTGTATTTGAGCTGCTCACAGCAAAGAGGACCTTAGAGAGACTGAAGCTATGCAGACTCTTAGCTTCTCATTTCATAACCCATTAACTTTACAGACACTGTCCAGACTGCCTGCTCCAGATGAAAGGTCTCTGATTATCTTTCCAGGTAAATTAATGCCTGACATATTTTGTTATTAGATTTTGAAGGGCCTAATAAATAAATTTACTAGGCAATTTCTTCATTCAGTATTGCAGTTTAAACCAATAGACAACAGCAGAGAACTGGTTCACTGAAGCTCTCCTGTTGCCATACAGCTGGTGTAAGTCATCCCTTAACATTGCCCAGCTACACTTCCTGGCCACCTCACAGCACACAAACACAACTCCTGCACACTGCTGCCTTTGTGCACAGGCTGCTGCAGCCTCTGTGCAGCTGAACAAAGGCTCAGAACTTCTGTCCACTCATACATCAAAGCCTAAATTCCCATTAGCTGTTGAAAACTATTTAATAATTGTTCTTAAAATACTTCTTAGTTCAAAAGTAGATGAAGCAGATATTTTAGATGTCAGGGAAGACATTTCCTTATTCCCACTGGAGATATTATTTGTGCCTTCTAAACACCAAAGCTATTACAATAAACAATTCCATGCAAATAGGAGGTATTTATAAGCAGAGAGGCGCTCATGGGAATGAAATTATGAACACAATTTCTTATTCCTACTCTTAAAATAGTCCCTATTTTATGCAGATAAAAATTCTCCCTTGAACTATTCCTGTCCCTGTTCCCACCCTAGCACAGGTCAGGAGGAGGCAGCCCCAGGCCTCACTGCCCAGCCCCCGCCTGGCACAGCTGGGCTCCTACCACCACTGGATCACCAGCTGCTCCAGGCTGCAACCAAAGCTGCTGACTCTGGTGTGCTTGCCATGCTTATCACAAGTTAACAGGCCAAGAGAAGCTGATGAACCTGTGTTCTTGGCCAGCTTCACAGTGATCTCGTGCCAGTCTCAAGTAGCAGCAGCCATAAATGATTCATTTTCAGCAATATCAGATACAGGATTCCATCTGCACTGCTCTATGCCATGGCTGTTACTATATTCCATAAGTGCCAGAATCTACAGAATTTGGTATTAGCCTCATGTATCTGTGAGAAAGATACCAAACAAAAAAAAACCACAAAGGACCATTTCTAACTCAGAAGCTATGATTTTGAAGGATATGAGTTTTAATGCGTGTAATTGAAAGTTGTTAACAAAACTGAACCCTTACAAATACATTATCAAAATGCACTAGGAAGAGATACTTCCATTTGATTGCCAATGATTCCATTTGATTGCTTTGAATTTGGTTCTAGGTGGGTTTTTTTTTTTGAAGGGAGAAACAAAAAGAGAAAAGGAATATTTAGATGAAATATCTAAATAACCCATGAGACTATGTTTGGAATTAAAAAACAAAAAGTACTTTGAAAGAGTGACCTTACAGCAAAGTTGCCAGTAACAGTGGTACTTCCAAGTGACCAGCACTGCACTTGCCCACAGCTCAGCCCTGAGCAGCAACTGGCACAAGCAGGTCAGAAGCAGGACAGGGGATATCCACACTGCTGGGATCAGGCTTCTATCTGAGGGTAGCCTTCCATCCCTCTGAGATGGTTTTCCATTGGGCATCTGTATCCGCACTGCAGAACATGTGCTCAGCTTTGAAGTCTATGGAACAGAATGACTTTTTCCACAACACAGCCATAGCCTAAAAATGAGCATAATGTAATAACCACATGATCTTTGTTCTTTAAGACTTTTGGTGCTCTCAAAATCATGTTACTCACAAATAAAAGCACAGGTGACATCAAACTCCCAAATTGAATGAGCTCTGAACATAAATAGAAGTTGGAGGACACAAATACATCTTGATATCTAAGGACATTCTGTACAGGCAAAACAGCTGCATTCCTGGGACTTGGCCATGAAATTGCCTTTACATGGTCAACTACAGCTTTGTATTCACTGATGGAACAACTGGACATTGCATTTCATCATGCTGGAGTGGACAAGCTGTTCTCCCTCACTCTATGCTCAGGCCTTTCTACTACCAGTGTTGCTCATCCAGCTCTTCTCTGCTTATCTTTCTGCCCCAGCACCTTGCCAGCCTGGAGCTGTGTAAGAAATACTCCTTGGAGACAGTTAATAGAAGACAGAGTGCTCTCCAGTCTCACCTTCAGCTTGTCAGCTCTTCCCTCTGGAAAGGGCACAGTGGGAATTGCACAGTATCTCCTGGCTGCAGGGATGCTCCTGGGCTCAAAGGGCCACCTTAACACCCAGAGCCCCAGAAAAAAAGCTTGGAAGAGTCTGGCACTGCATCCTGTATGGGTGTTCTTCCAGGGGCAGAGGTGGCTTGGTGATGGTACTGCCAGATTAAAGCTCACTGACCTTACATTGCACCCTGTTATGAGCTGGGGTTCAGGAGGGCCGTCCATGGTCCCGATCTCTGCCAAGTGGTTTTCCCCATTTATCTGAGCTTGAACTCCTGTATCAAGAAAACAGCACTAAAGCAGCAGACCTATACTGCCATGCACAGGGATCCATGAAGAAACAACACTGGTTATCAGAAAGACACAAATGCTCTGAAGTATGTGTGCAAAATGCTAGTAAATATTTTCATAAGGTATTAGTGGTTGACTTAGAAGGCACTGTGCTAATCTACACAGAGCAAGACCAACATGTCTACTTACAACATAGGATTCTATGCTCTTAATGGTCCTGTAATTTTCAGCTAAAGCCTGTTTCCAGAGGATTATCAATTGTCTCTCATAGGCATTATTTGTAGAAAATTCTCAGGAACACCATGCATATTTTAGCAGAGCCTGAATTATGCAGAGAACATGCCTTGTTTTCATATCTATAGGAGTAACTGGCTTATAAGCACATGTCACTTGAGAAATTGTGTACAGGTTTTAAATTGTGGATCATCACATCAGTATCCTCCATGAGCCTTTAATGCTTGTAAACATTTTATTTAGTAATGAATCTGGCTTTTATATAAGTGTTCTTCCTGAAGTTTATTCTAGGAAGAACAGAATAGGAATTCTCATAATAAAAGATAAATTGTAGGTAAATCATATAACAGTATATAAAATTTAAGGATATTTCATAATTTAAATTCCACAAATCACGTATCACATTAAGCAAATTAAGAAAACACAGATCAAAGCAGAGAATTCACAAAGTCAAGCACTTGTAGTTATAGCCTGTGAAAGTTTAACAGCTCTCTCCTTTTTTCCTTAAGGTAGTAAACAGCCATAAAAGCACTGGTGGGAAGGGCTACCAGCCTGTCCAGCTGCTCGCAAGGGCAGTTACGAGCTTTCAAACAGGTCTGATAAGTCATTGCCCAGGCTCCAGGCATTCAGACTGCGCCAATCCCTGTCCCAGCACTCTCCAGCTCTTCTGGTGGAGAGTTGGAATCACAGAATCATTTAGGTTGGAAAAGACCTTCAGGATCATCGAGTTCAATCATTAACCTGACCTACTGAGTTCCATTACTAAACAGCTCCTACTGCCATGTCAACATCTCTAAAATGCCTTCGGAGATGGGCTGCTCTGAAAAGGGTTGGTGTCCCATCTCAATGGTTGAATACCCTCTTTGAAGAGATTATTCCAAACACCCAGTATAAAAAAATGCCCAGTGCAGCTTGAGTCCATTTCCTCACATTCTCTCACTTGTCACCTGAGAAAAGTGACTGCCACCCTCCTCACCGCAACTTCCTTTCAGATAATTGTAGGTCTCCCCTCAGCCTCATAGAATCACCGAATGCCCCGAGTTAGAAGGGACTGAAAGGATCATCGAGGTCAACGCCTTTTCTCCAGACTAAACATCCTCGACTCCTTCAGACACTCCTCCTCCACAGACAGCGCGCAGCGGCACCCCATCCATCAGCCAACTCCCGCACGGTCCCACCAGCCCCCAGCTCCGTACAGCCCCGTTCCGCACAGCCGCTCCCGCCGCCCCGCCTCTGGAGCTGCCGCTTTCCGAATGGCTCGGGCAGATACTTCGCCTGTAGACCCGGAAAATGTCTCCGTTCCAAACAATCTGACATAGGGATTTCACAGCCAATTTATGGAATATCTTCACAGATCAAAGCATGGTTTGAGCCAGAAGGGACCTTTAACGGCCAACTCCCTGCAATAAATAGAGGCATCTACAGTTCACTCAGGCGCTCAGACGCACTCATCCTGAAGCACAGACCAGGACACAGAAGCAGCCCCTGTGAGAACACAGCACCTGCAGAACGGGATCACAAGACACGTTACGGGCACGTAAAACCATTTTGGGGCACGCAGGTGGGTGAGTCAGAAGCAACTTGCCCAGAAGCAGACGCGATCCATCTTAAAATACACAGACTAATGCCATTGGCACCGCTGTGCCGAGCGCAGGAGCCAAACCCATCCGCCCTCCCGGCGGTGAGCTGAGCCGGCCCCGAGCGACGGGATTTTCTCCATTGAAAGCCCCGAGCTGCTGCGTTCCACGAGCGCCATCTGCTGGCACTGCTGCGCATCGCCCGGGCGGCTCCGGCTCCGCTCAAGGGCAGGCTGTTGTGAACCCCCCGATAGAGATCTATACTGGTTGGATAATCACAGCTGCGATGCCATTAAGAGGCATTTTGTCATCCAGCTGTACGTCTGTTATTCAAAAGGTAATTCTCAGAGCATTGGGAGATCTCATCCAGTTTAATTTAAAACACACTTCCAAATGCCTTTTATCTGCAGAAGAAATCAATTTAGAAGGCTAGAGAAAATCTAGAAAAACTCTTGTTATTCCAAGATACTAAAATCCATTTTGGTAGTCCCTGTTTCAAAAGCTTCCAAGAGCTGAATACTATGAAATATTACTGCCCTGGAATGGGAAGATTTACATTCAGAAATCCTCTGAGTTACTGCACAAGGAATACATCAGTTAGAGGACTTCCTGTGGCAGTTGAGCTCTCAGATGTGCAACATTCAGGCAAAAAAATACCAGGAGGAAGTGTCATTGCCATACATACAGTCTGAATAAGAATGTTTTCTGTAACAGAAGAAAAACTGCTGTAGAAGGCAGGTAGAATAGTGAAAGAGAATGGCTATGTTCATGTCAGCAGATTTGAACAAATTACACTGGATCAGGCTCAATAAATTTGTTAACTCATTTCTGTTTCTGTATGGAACATCTCAAAGATGTATCCAAATGCAGAATTATCTTTTCAATGCTAGCTAGTAAACAGCAGAACTATTGCATTTATCTTACTGAAAACACAGATGCAGCACAAGTCAGCATTACGTGGTACACAGTCAGGAGATGCTACATTTGATTTCCAGCTTTTCCCAGAAA